GGGGAGCTTCCCTGCTCAGCAGCCCCCCACCGGCTGTCGCTCCACGGATGTCGCTCCCCAGAGGCCAGAGGTTGTGAGCTGGGCCTAAGACTCGATGTGGAGATGCAGGGTGGCTTGGGGAGAGCCCTCCGAGGCTGGGATGATGAGGACTCACGCTGGCTGAAGGCACTCTACTGCACCGCCTCCCCTCGGCATGTGCTCTTGGGAAGCATGTTGGAATAAACCTCCGAGCATCTGGGAGACGGTGTCTAGCACACAGCAGAGCTCAATCAATGCTTTCTCAACGGATGGTGATGGGGGCTCTGAGCAGGTGAGGAGTTCTCCTCTGAGCCCTGGCCAGCCCTTGGGTTCACTGGGAGGTGTTCCCTCACACAGACGCTGAGACCGGGCACCAGGACCCCCAGCAGACAGGAACCGGGCCAGGGGTTGGGAAGCACGGGGAGCCTGCCAGCTCCGGGAATAACGTCCCTGTGTTCAGTGCCAGCTTCTGGGCCCTGGCGCTGACTTCAAGACCTGAGTCACCGAGGACATTTAAAAATAGAGTCTATTAAAATGGCCTGAGATCAACCAAAGGATTTGTATGCATGCATATACGCCTAACCAATGGGCACAGACACCAGGGGGGTGAGGGCATGAGTGTGCACTCTATTGTCTCAGAGAAAAGCAATTAAAACAAACAAACAAAAAACATAAAAACAGAAGCCATACTCTAAGGCAGTGGTTCTCAACCTTCTGGCCCTTTAAATACTGTTCCTCATCTTGTGACCCAACCATAAAATTATTTTTGTTGCTACTTCATAACTGAAATGTTGCTACTGTTATGAATCGTAATGTAAATATCTGATATGCAGGATGGTCGTAGGCGACCCCTGTGAAAGGGTCGTTCAACCGCCAAAGGGGTCACGACCCACAGATTGAGAACCGCTGCTCTAAGGGTTACAACAGAAAAAGCTTCATTTAACAAAGACTTGAACTCCCATTCAGAATGCCCGATAAGGGGTTAATTTCCAAAATATACAGGGAACTCATACAATTTAACAAAAGAAAAGCAAACAATCCAATTAAAAAATGGGCAAAGGACCTAAATAAACACTTCTCCAAAGTGGACGTACAAAAGGCCAAGAGACATGAAAACATGCACAAAGTCACTAATCATCCGAGAGATGCAAATCAAAATGCAAATCAAAAGACGATGAGATACCATCTCACACCTGTCAGAATGGCTATCATCAACAAATCAACAAACGACAAGTGCTGGAGAGGATGCGGAGAAAAAGGAACCCTCGTGCACTGCTGGTGGGAATGCAGACTGGTGCAGCCACCGTGGAGAACAGTATGGAGTTTCCTCAAAAAGTTAAAAATGGAACTCCTATTTGACCCAGTGATCCCACTTCTAGGAATATATCCTAAGAAATCTGGAAACACCCATCAGAAAGGATATATGCACCGCTATGTTCATAGCAGCACAATTCACAATAGCTGATAATTGGAAACAGCTAAGTGCCCATCAGCAGATGAGTGGATTAAAGAACTGTAGTACAGCTACACAATGGAATACTACGCTGCAGTAAAAAAGAAAGAACTCTTACCATTTGCAACAGCATGGATGGATCTGGAGAGCATTATGCTAAGCAAAATAAGCCAATCACGGAAAGATACGTATCACATGATCTCACTCTGTGGAATCTTCTAATGAACAAAATAAACTGATGAGCAAAATAGACCCAGAGACACAGAAGCATGGAACAGACTTTCGAACCTCAGAGGGAAGGTGGGGGAGGGTGGGAAGAGATCAACCAAAGAACTTGTCTGCATATAAGCATAACCCATGGGCACAGACAATAGGATTGTGAAGGCCTGGGGCAGGGGGGAAGAGATCGATGGGGGAAAAAGGTGTATTACTTTCAACAACAAATTTTTTTTTAATTAAAAATAAACCAATTTTAAAATATTAAAAAAAGAAGTGCCAGCTGAAGCTGAAATAGAAATGGTTCTTGCCCTCAAAGTCACCTCACCCCACTCAGGCGACGTTGATGTTTGAGCACGATTGATTATAGTTTGTAACTTTGACCGACATCATCAAAATTGATTTTAATGAGGTCAAAATTCTTTCTAAAAGGGAAATGTAGTGTCTCAACGAGGGCCCTTTTGGTTTAAGATCCCGTGCTCAGTCCAGCTAACTGGAATGGCCAAGGGTCCCGTTAAGGGTGTGTACAGATCTCACGGGACATGAAGGGCAGGGACACGCTGGGCTCCCCGGAGCTGGGCCTGGAGAGCCGGCAGGAACTGAAGTCACGGCCTCTCTCTCTGCCTCTGGGCTGCTTGATCCTCCAGGTGAGTCCTCTCATTCTCTTTGCAGATTCTCTGCTCACTGAACCGTAAGGGAGGGAGCCTGGGTTTAGCTCCTCCCCGCCCCAACCCCAGAAGGTAACCCCCTCAGTCCAGGTCCCTCCACGTTGCTGAGAATCTGGCCAGCTTCGTGGGCCCACTCTGTGCTCTCTCTGGCCCGACCCCTGTGGCCAGGGAGGCCGGGGTGTGCGGGAAGGGCCACGGGCAGAGGGTGGTCATTACCTTCCCACGTCAACAATACAAAGTAAACTATGTAAAAAAAAAAAAGCACAGTAAAAACATGCACACACGGAATTAGGGACATTTACATGACTCAGCAAGAAAGTGACCACACAGGAATTGTTTCCTTTCTGCTTGCTGAAGGTCATCATTAGGGAATGAAGAACAAACGCACTAAACATTGGTTCTCTTTTGTCCAAACAATGTAAAATTTTGTTTAAAATGGACGTTAGGGTTCGTTTAAAATTTAATTGGAAACATTGACACGGCTCCAGTTGCTAACTACTACTCCCCTGCCCCCCTCCCCCCCACTCACACACCCCTACACACCTTCCCCACCAAGGCCACCATTTGCATTCGTTTCTGGTTTGGCCTGCTAGTCACTCTTTTGTAAAAAAGAAGCAAATACACGTTTTTATTTCCACTTCTTTCATTCACAAGAAGCAGCACGTTATATAGTGTGTGAACCTTATTTCCCCACAGGACAGCATTAGCCTGGTAGCTAACGGGAGCATGGAATTCATGCCTCCTTCCGACATGGCCCTGGAGGGCTCCCCATAGTGTGGGGGTGAACACAGCCTATTCAACCGGCTCCCCTGGACACACTCAGGAGCTTCCATTTGTTGCTCCTGCAAACAAAGCCTCCATGAATAAACGCGTGCCCATGTTGCTTCAGATCTGTAGAGACGTGTCTTTAGGGTAGAAGCCGAAGGAAGGATTTCTGGGACAGAGCATACTGCTTGGGTCATCTTGTTGACTACTGCTCAATTCCTCCCTTCGTATGAGCACTTGAGCTGTGCAACCTCACCGAGAGTCGTGGTGAAATTCTGGGGGTTTTGCTAATCTGATAAGCCAGAATGGGTACTTCGATGTAATTTTAACCTGTATGTCTCTCATTGTGAGTGGAGCTGGTCATCTTTCATACAGGACTCTTTGCCTGTTTTTAAAAATATATATTTTATTGATTTCAGAGAGGAAGGGAGAGAGACAGAAACATCAATGATGAGAGAGATTTATTACTCAACTGCCTCCTGCACACCCCGCATTGGGGATGGAGCCTGCAACCCGGGCATGTGCCCAGACCAGGAATCAAACCGTGAACCTCCTGGTTCATAGGTCGACGCTCAACCACTGAGCCACACTGCTGGCTGGGCTCTTTGCTTCTTTTTAAATTAAATATTTCCATTTGAAGTAAACTCACCTGCTGTTGTAAGAAATAATTCAGAGATCCCTGTACCTTTCCCCAGACCCCCTCCCCAAGATAACAACATACAATGTTATAGTGCGATGTCACACCCACCATAGGGACATCGATAGGCAGCATACAGCACAGTTCCTTACCTTTCTTTTCATGGGACCTTTTTCATGTGGAAAACATAAACGCAACAACAATGAAAAACCCAGATAACCCCAAAAAAGTTCCCAAGAGAAAATAATTACACCATCACACAAAGTCTTCAGAATATTATATTTCATAAAAGACAATGATAAAAAAGTGCAAACATTTCCATGAGCAGCAAAAAAAAAAAAAAAGAATACAAGAAATGACTAGCATTTAATTCAGTGCATTTTATGTAAAAGCCTTTCGGATCTTAATAAATAAGTGAGTCTTAAGTACACTTTCTCTTTCTGATAAACACCACTATGGCCATTTTGGTTCTCTCAACTGGCAAACTTGCAAATACAAGGCAATAAATCTTGAGTGCTAATGTGAAAAAAAGATACATAGAGAAATATAAGAAAGACAAGCAAACACCAAATAAAACAACACAAACTCTGCTTTCTCTCATATGTAGCCTGCAAAAAGAGGGAGAATATTGTATTGATTTTTCCATTTTGTTTTAAAGTGGATATTAATCTCTTGGCTGGAAAAGAAGTATAAGCTAGTTTCTAATACGTAATTTTGTATTTACATAATATTGTAAGTAAAGTTTTCTTACTGAACACCTTTTCACAAAATACTAACAAAAATTTAATTTTTAAAAAATATTCGTTTAACCTTAATTTTTGGCAACATTTAAATGACTATCTTCACAATGACTTTGATATAATGTTACAGCAAATGTGAACACTTTTCCTTTTTCTACAAATAGACCCATTAGCCCGGCCAGTGTGGCTCCGTGGTTTGGTTGAGCATCGACCTATGAACCAGGAGGTCACAGTTCAATTACCGGTCAGAGCACATGCCGGGTTGCAGGCTGGATCCCCAGTAGGGAGCGTGGAGGAGGCAGCTGATCAATGATCCTCTCACATCATTGATGTTTCTCTCCCTCTTCCTTCCTCTCTCTGAAATCAATAAAAATATACCTTAAGAAAATAGGCCCATTAATCACTGTTATTCTCTCCAGTTGAAGGCACTGTATAACTTTCCCAGCAGTGCCAGAGGGACTTATAATAACTCTGATGTCCACATACGTATGCTTCTTGATTTTGAGATTAAGAAATACAATGATTAAGTTATCAGAGGGTGTCTTCATTTTAGAAAGGTTTACACTTGCCTGACTTGATTTGTTTAGAAATGAAGTGCTTTTTCCGTAGACATACCTAGCATCCCACCTGACAGAGTAGATAAGAACACATGTTCACTAATATATCCACCAAACAAAAAGATTTACAATATATTTGTTAGTCTTGTGGAATAGATTTATTTTCTGATAATAAAGATTAATTGGGCAAAACTCTGTCACTTTTATTGAAACATATAAATGATTACAGGCAAAAATCAATTTTAAGTCTGCAGTGAAGAAGCACAGTAAAAACAAACAAAAGACAAAAAGCAAACTAGTAAGATGTTTTTCACAGAACAACATGCCATATTCAAAACTGAAAAAAAGCAAAATATTCATGGCCCACAGCTAAAACAAAAATTACTATTAGACTTAATCCAAAAAAATAAGGCAGATACTAGTAGAACTGAGTTCTCTTGAAATTATAAAATGTATATCAAAATAAAACGATTCCAAAATTTGGGCAGCTTCACATTAAAAAAATATATGATTTCCTAATAAGACTCCGAAACAGTCCTAATTACCCCAACTAAAGTATTTTTAATTATTTTATGGATTAATTATGTTCCTATGCCCCAACTATCTTGTTAGTGATCAACAAATGGTAACTTCCTAATTTACTTTCTTCCATTTCATTGAATTAAACAACTACATTGACTATGAGAGACAGCAAATGAACAGATAGACAAATTAAGAACACATTTACTTTCAGCAGTTTGATTATTCACTATTTTCAGTACAAGCAAAAAAAAAAAAAATTAGAGACAAATATTTTGGAAATATTTCTAAGAAAAAAATGTGGGAAAACTCTGTTTTGTTTCATAACAGAGAGCTATCAGTTTTCTAAAAGTACAAGAAATTTACTTATTTTGTGATTTGGTTAGTGATCATTTGTGTTACCAATATTGCCATGGAAAACGCCAACTTCAAAAGTCAAACTTACAACCTGAGATAAATACCATATTTCTATTTTAGGTGAACAATCTATGAGTCAACTGTTATCCACACATCTCTCAAATACAGATTTCTATTGTTCGTCATTGTTGTTAAAGATTCACTGTATAGATAAACGATTTTTTTGTTTTAAATTTGTGAAAATACCTTAAGATATTTAACGAATCTTTGGTTAACAATAATTGATCATTTTCAAAGTAAAAATACTGTTTGGCTTTGCCATAAAAACTTCATCCAAACTTAAGATAAAGTAATATACTTAATGTCAGGTAATAAGACCTGTTTTCTGAGACGTGCCTTATAACATCAACATATTGAGATAGCTGATGATGTATTAGAATATAATTCTATTAAATTATGCTTTCAGTGAGGAAATTTTAATAATGAACACCGGAGATGTAATTTCTTAAAAGTGAAAAAAAAATACAGTTTGAATGAAATTGGGCAAGATTAAAAAGAATCCCTTCCAAACTTGAATTCTATGAGTCTGAGAATTGAACTTAAAATTTATTTTCTACCTACTAAGCATTTATCTTCATAAAAATATAACATTTCATTTCTTATCTAATAGTATAATTCATTTGTATATTATAGGTACTATTGGGTTTTGCATATAACACATTCTTTTAAAAAATTGTTTTGATTTTTTTTTAAACTAAAAAAATTTTTGGCTCCTCTGAACTGGAAATAATAAAAGTGCTATTCACTATTAACCAAAACAAACAAACAAACAAAAAAGTGTACAAACACACACAACATTGGGAACATTTTTTGAGGCACAAAATCCCTGACACTTACACCAGAGGTACATGAAAAGCATTTAACATGAGGAGGTCCTTGATCTCATGTCACACCATAACTTTTAAGATTTTTTCTTGGCATTAGTCATGCAATATGCATAAACATTACGGTTGTGATTTAGCAAAATCTGATGAGACTGCAAGCAAGGGAAAAAACAGGCCATCCTGGCAGGAAGAAAAGCGGCCTAAGCCGTTTCTTCTACCCTCAGGGCCCTAGGGAAGCTGACTTCTCCCCACACAGAGGCTGAAGGTCTAAGCTCAAAACTAGTATAACAGCTTACTGTAGCCATTGGCTGTCAATTATTGACAGTTCCTTCATGTCACACAAGGGTTAGCCTTTGTTCAGTCTCATAAACGTACACTGTTTGTTCCATGCAAATAAAAAAACGTTTATAAAAGCCCAATAAAGGCATAAGCCATTACATGCAAAACTGCAACACACCTTATTGTTCAACAATTTCAACACATCAGTGTACATCCCCTATGTACAAAACAGGTTTCCACAGAAATAAAGCATTCTCTTGAGTTAAATGATAGATTTCCGTATAAAAATGTCTTCCTTTGCAGGGCGCTCTTAACCTCCAGTCTTAGCGATGGCACCTGGTCTCCGGAGCGCTCGCTGGGGGGGTTGGGGGGGGCGGGTCTCGGGATGGGAGGAAGGAGGCTGCTGTAGACAACCCCACACTGTGGTCACTGAGACTGTCGGCTCCTCTGCATAACGGGCCCGGAACACGTCCATCCACTGACCTCCTTCAAGAGCGCACCCTGAGTTTATGATCAGCATCGCAGTCTCCGTTGCCATGACAGTGACTTCTTCAATAGTCTTCGATTGGAGCCAACTCTGGCGTGAGGTTCACGGAGATGTTTGTATACAGCCTGTCCACCAGGATGGTGGGCTCGTAGATTAAGTTGTTCAGCCCGTCGATGTACTGGCGCTCCTTCGAATACCTCAGCAGCTTGTATCTAGGGTGTTGGAGAGGAAAAAGGAAAAGTAACAGAAACATGTCCAAAATAAAGAAAAACCGACGGGAAAAATGCTCAAGGTCGTTATGAATGAAAGCACTTAATGCTCTAGACCCGTGGTCATCAAACTGCGGCTCGCGAGCCACATGCGGCTCTTTGGCCCCTTGAGTGTGGCTCTTCTTAGGAGTACCCTAATTAAGTTAATAACAATGTACCTACCTATATAGTTTAAGTTTAAAAAATTTGGCTCTCAAAAAAATTTCAATCGTTGTACTGTTGATATTTGGCTCTGTTGACTAATGAGTTTGCTGACCACTGCTCTATACAATTGCTGGTTCTCAAACATAATGAAACACCTCTCTACACCGTCGTTCTCAGTGAGCATTATTACGAGGCTTAAAATGCCACCTGAAAAAATGACTCTGCACCCTTATGACCTAGACACCCTTAAGGGGAAAAATGTGTTGTGTTTTTTGCTAAGAAAATCCTTTTTTAGTATAAAGTTAACTGGGCTTTAATAGAACATAAATATATGTGTGTGTGCGGATATATGTATACTCTTCAAAACAAGCACAAAAATGCTTTACTGCTATATAAAAAATGACATCGACAGAAAATGCCCTTGGGGAGGTTTTTTGGGTGCAACGTGTATTTTAAAGCTTTCACACACTGAATAATTCTGGAACGTGGTCTCTGAAGATGATATTAAACTTACCGTCCTAAAAACTGGACTTCACCCCGATGATGGTGAGGAATGGATTTGTATTTTCCCAAGTCTCCCTCGGGCCTCGTTACATTATACCCAGCGTAGTGAACCCTGCAATACCACACATGCACATGAAACATAAAGAGAGAACATCTGACACAAACACTGATGATCTGAGTTCAATTTAAAATGCAAAAGAATGCTCAAATGGGGTGTTGTCAATAATTTCAGAAGGCCCTCTTGGGGGGCGGTTGGAGGGAGAAACACAAAGCAGGATTTAGGAATCTCAAAACTTCTCCATCCCAAAGCATCTTTTCTTGGGATAGCAAAGTACAAGTTACCTAATACAAAGAAAAGTTAGAGGAACTCTGCTACTAAACTGTTCGTACAGCCACATACCTGTTCCAAAGGTCATCATCTTCTCCTCCCCACCCCCAGAAGGCGTTAGGAAAGCCGTTGATCTTCCTAAACTGCGCCACGGTCAGTCCACTTACACCACCAAAGAACTCTTTATATGGAAGACTAAAAACAAAGCAGAGCAGAGCATCCTAAAAATAAAACCGGGACAGGGCGCCGCATGAAATCAAGCCTCCGGTCTTCTGTGTGCCTTGTGAAACAGACCGCTGCTTCCCAAATAATTATGTTGATTCAATCATATTCTGGGAAATGGAAAGTAGCCCCAGATACAAAACACTTCTACATTTTAGTGAAACACACACACACCTGAATGTGTTTGTTATGGAAAACACGTGTGGGAATTGACATTTGATATTTAGAATTGTTACTTTATAATACTCAAAACCCGGTGTTCAAAAATTATTTTTATAGCAAAGTGAACTTAATTAAATCCACCAATAGCTGTCGATGGGAGGTTAGATGTTGCTAAGCTAATAAAATTTTCTACATTAATAAAATGTAACTCTAAATGCATTATTTATTATATAGACCAGGACACATGAATACTAGTAAAGACAAGTCTAGTATTTAATTTTAAGATGACAAGCTGCCTATACCTATAATATATCTGTTTGGATTACAGCCCCAAAATACTCATTAATATTTACAAACACATTTATTTTTAATGCACTAAATATTTAGAGAAATTACTTTTTATTAAGATATAACTGACACATAACATCGCATTACTTTTAGGTGTTTAACAGATATATGTATATATTGTGAAATAATTATCAAAATAAGTCTAGTTAACATCACCGTAGATAATTAGATAATTCTTTCTTTTCTTGTGATGAGGATCTACTCTCTTAGGAACTTTCAGATACTCAATAGAGTATTGTTAACTCTAGTCCCCATGCTGTCCGCTACATCCCGGAACTGATTCATCTCAGAACTGGAGCTTGGACCTTTGACCCTTTCACCCACTTCATCGCCCCCTGCCCCCCACCTACCCCCCACCTTCCCACAATCTCTAGCAACCACCATTCTGTTCCCTGTATCTATGAATTCGGTTTCTTTAGATTCCACATATAAGTGAAGTTAGACAGTACTTGTCTTTCTCTGACAAATGGCTATATTCTTAAACTTGGATTTTACTTTCCTTACCTTTCCCTAACTCACAGTGCAAGGACTTTGTCTAACTAAGTTATTCATTTACATGTAGACTGGATTGCTGAGACTGAGGTAGCACCCCTAGACTTGTGGACCTGAATCATCATTCTGGCCCCAAATGTGCGACTGGGCGCAGCATGCTGGAGCCATAAGAGGGCCGGGCAGAAAGCACACCGTGCCTGGCACCTGAAAACCAAGCTGAAGGCAATCTGGCCAGAACCACAGCACAGTGGCCTCAGAGAAAGGGAGAAAGACTTCACTCTTTTGTTGAAGAAACTCTTGCCCCGTTCCCTGTGGGGAGCAGGGCTGTCTGCCGGCCGGGACGACGGAGCGGGCAGCAGAGAAAGCAAGCGTGGCTCTAGCCTGGGCCAAAGGCACCCCAGACCGCGACAGCAACATGTACCCCAAAGACAACCAGGGTGTCCCAGGTGACCTCAGGGGGCTCACACGGGGGAGTTAGGATTCTGGTGATAACACTGGGTGGGGTTCAAGAGGCTCAATAAGCACGTAGGGCACATTTGTGTCTCCCGCACCAGTTGGATCATCCTCCCCAGGCGAGTGGTCTGGGAGGATCCTGAGATCCGTGGATAGGTTAGGTGTGCGTGTGTGTGTGTGAGTGTGTGTGTGCGTGTGTGTGTGTGAGTGTGAGTGTGTGTGTGCGTGTGTGTGTGTGAGTGTGAGTGTGTGTGTGCGTGTGTGTGTGTGAGTGTGAGTGTGTGTGTGCGTGTGTGTGTGTGAGTGTGAGTGTGTGTGTGCGTGTGTGTGTGTGAGTGTGAGTGTGTGTGTGCGTGTGTGTGTGTGAGTGTGAGTGTGTGTGTGCGTGTGTGTGTGTGAGTGTGAGTGTGTGTGTGCGTGTGTGTGTGTGAGTGTGAGTGTGTGTGTGCGTGTGTGTGTGTGAGTGTGTGTGAGTGTGTGTGTGAGTGTGTGTGTGTGTGTATGTGTGTGTGTGTGTGTGTGTGTGTGTGTGTTTATTGACATGTCTGAATTGGCAAGCACTTTAATTCCATTTATTGTTCTGCTTAAGTGGAAACAGCCAACTGGACTATACCCAGAATGGGTAAAGACTAGATAAAATGAAGGCACAATAAACTGAAGAATGGAAAACGGAAGTTCAGCATGCGAAAGTCCAGTCGTGTTTATCTTACAGCATCCACAGGGGAAGACACCAACTGAGGCCTTAGCTCTCTGGCCGGAGCCCTCCGAGGGTGGGCATCCTGCTGGGCACAGGGGCTGCCTCCGGCTGCGTCCAGGGCTGAAGGCTGCGCTACCTGCCAGTCCCTGACCGGCCTCCACCTCCCTGAGCTGGCATTCCCACTTCTATCCAATCTTCCAAGATGCCTACCAACCCCAGGATTAGTCTAGGTAGATATGAATATTTTATTCATGAGAAATTAGTATTTTCAAGTAAAAAGAGATCACTCAGAATTCTTTGTGTATATGACCTGTATGATATTCTTCAGTGATAACCAATCACACTGAATCCACTCTGACTCTAGCAGGCTGACCCAAATGGCTCCAGAAGCGCTGAGCACCAGATCCGGAACCTGAATGACCCTCCCAGGTAACGCCTGGCTTGGAGTTCAGACGCTGTGGTATTAGGGAAAGGCTGTCTTAGCATCACAACCAGCGAAACGAGCAAAAGCCATTCTTTTCCTGTTTTAGTGCCGTTTCTCCTGGTCGGGTCACTGCCTCTCTCTACTCCAGTGATGGCGAACCTATGACACGCGTGTCAGAGGTGACACGCGAACTCATTTTTTTGGTTGATTTTTCTTTGTTAAATGGCATTTAAATCTATAAAATAAATATCAAAAATATAAGTCTTTGTTTTACTATGGTTGCAAATATCAAAAAATTCCTATATGTGACACGGCACCAGAGTTAAGTTAGGGTTTTTCAAAATGCTGACACGCCGAGCTCAAAAGGTTCGCCATCATGGCTCTACTCTGTAGTCGGGCAGCAGGGAAGCCTGTGGTACAGGAATCGCCTCCCCTGTTCCGGTGGTTTTCTCTCCTCTACACTTCCACGAGCCAACGAGAATCGTGGTGTCTTTAATGTCAATGTAAGTTTCCGTCACGCAGCCCACTGAATGGGAGAATGTGTTCGCCAATGATACATCTGATAAGGGCTTAATATACAAAACTTATAAAGAATTCATATAACTCAACACCAAAAACACACACACAATCCAAATGGGCAATGGACCTGAATAGACACTTCTCCAAAGAGGACATACAGAAGGCCAAGAGACATATGAAAAGATGCTAATCAACAAAAAATGTAAATTAAAACCACAATGAGCTATCACCGGACACGCCGAGCTCAAAAGGTTCGCCACCACTGCTCTACTCTGTAGTCGGGCAAGCCTGTCGTACAGGAATCGCCTCCCCTGTTCCAGTGGTTTTCTCTCCTCTCCACTTCCACGAGCCAACGAGAATCGTGGTGTCTTTCCCGGAGTAGACTGGCATGCTTTAATGTCAATGTAAGTTTCCGTCACGCAGCCCACTGAATGGGAGAATGTGTTCGCCAATGATACATCTGATAAGGGCTTAATATACAAAACTTATAAAGAATTCATATATCTCAACACCAAAAACACACACACAATCCAATTAAAAAATGGGCACAGGACCTGAATAGACACTTCTCCAAAGAGAACATACAGATGGCCAATAGACATATGAAAAGATGCTAATCATCAAAAAATGTAAATTAAAACCACAATGAGCTATCACCCCACACCTGTCAGAATGGCTGCCATCAATAAATCAACAAACGCTGGCGAGGATGTGGAGAAGAGGGAACCCTCGTACACTGCTGGTGGGAATGCAGACTGGTGCAGCCACCGTGGAGAACAGTATGGAGTTTCCTCAAAAAATTAAAAATGGAACTCCCATTTGACCCACTTCTGGGTTTACATTCGAAGAAACCCAAAACACTAATTCAAAAGAACATATTCACGCCTATGTTCATTGCAGCATTATTGACAATAGCCAAGATATGGAAGCAACCCAAGTGTCCAAAACATACAAGTGAATAAAAAAGTTGTGGTCCATATGCACAACAAAATATCCCTCAGCCACAAAAAAGCACAAAGTCTCACAATTTGCGACAGCATGGATGGACCTAGAAGGCATTATGCTAAGTGAAATCAGTCAGTCAGAGCAAGACAGACACGGTGTGACTTCCCTTACCTGTGGAATCTAAACAACAATCTAAACCAACAAATAAAACAGAAACAAAGTCACAGATACAGAGAACAAGCTGATGGTGGCCAGAGGGGAGGGGGATTCGCAGGACTGGGTGAGAAAGGTGAAGGGACTGAGAAGTACAAACTGGTAGTTACAAATAGTTGTGGGATGTACAGTACAGCACAGGGAATACGGCCCATAATATTGCAATAACTTTGTATGGTGCCAGGTGGGGACTGGAAATACCAGGGGGACCACTTAGTAAAGTATCTGATTGTCAAACTACGACGCTGTACACCTGACACTAATAGAATACAGAATAATGTTGACTGTAAACTGTAATTGAAAAAAATATAAAAGTTACTGTCACAGCTCCAATGACTGTCTGCATTTCAAAGTATTTCCAGTTTTTTATTATGAAAAGCTGAGGATCCACAGCTTAGAAAGAAGAGACGTCCCTGGAGAAGGGGTCGCAGACAGAGGCAGCGGGGGCTCTCACCCACACAGCAGGCCCAGCGTAGCGACCACACGGCGGCCCCATGGACAGGCCCCGTTCCTCCAATGAACGGGGAAGCCAACGTGCAGAGCACAGGTAAAGGCCCACCCCTCTAAGTTACTGTCACAGCTCCAATGACTGTCTGCATTTCAAGGTATTTCCGGTTTTTTATTATTAAAAGCTGAGGATCCACAGCTTAGAAAGAAAAGAGGACCCTCCCCGCGCTGAGACGTCCCTGGAGAAGGGGTCGCAGACGGAGGCAGCGGGGGCTCTCACCCACACGGCAGGCCCAGCGTGGCGACCACGGCCCCATGGACGGGCCCTGTTCCTCCAATGAACCGGGAAGCCAATGTGCAGAGCACAGGTAACGGCCAACCCCTCTCACTAAGTGTGAAAACCAGAAGATACACCCACACTTGCTCGGCCGTGGAAGCCGGGCTCCTGCCCCCTCCCACCGACGTCTGCAGGAGGGAGAAGCTGATGGACACGAGACTCTAACCCGGGCTCCCTGTGCGGACAGACGGGCTGGGACCGAAGATCCCTGGGCTCGGCACAGTCCCAGAGGCGGAC